TTCCTCAATTCCAGTGGTAAGATACATTTTTTTCTTCTGCTGCCTCCTGTCCTGAACCAACACCTGTCTGTTTTTAACTAACTGCACAAATGACTGCTGATAAGCTTCTTATCGTCTCATCTAATGTCCTCTGGAGACTGTTGAGAATCATTTCTATGGATTGGATCGTATTCTCAGCCTTAAGGTTTTTGTGACATAGCTGTTTCTCACTGTGGAGAATAAGATGTAAAATAAGCACAAGCTGTCTCCAGAGATGTCAACTTTTACAAATGACATCCTGTCTTGATAGAGGTGTTAGACGAAGAATCAGCTAGACTCAGTGCTACCTTCTGCAGACTGAGGGGGGCTTGGTAAATACCGCTCCTTCTCGGAGGAGGAAAGAGAGAGGCTAGTAGTGTCTGTCCCGTAGAATAGCTGCTGACCCTCTGAAAACACACTTGCACACCAGCAAGCTTTTATCCTGGGGCAGTGTGACCTTCAGCACCATTTCAGTCACAAACCTGCAGGGAATGCGGTCTCTTCACTTACATCTGAGGATGAATGACTGTGGTTGCAGACCTGGAACAGAATAAGAAAAGAACCAGTTGGGCCTGTGCCCAGAATCAGTATGCCAGCTCATTTAAAACAGATGAAATCATTGTGTTCTAAAATAAAATACAGCTACACTGAAGTATGTACTCTGGCCCATATTGCTTGCCGTCTGGCATAGACTTTTTTTCTGTGTTCCACTCAATCTGTTATTTTTTTCCCTAGGGCATCCATCACCAATTGAGTCAACAGTAGTTAGTAGACAATGGAACTTTACCCATCAGTTTTTTTTTTTCTGTTTGATTCAATGGCATTTTAATTTTTGTGGTTCCCCATAACATACGCTTTTCCAGTCTTCCTTGTCATCCAGATAGCACCTCCCCCTAACATGGCACCTCATGAACAAGTGTTTTCCATTGTTCACTATCTGAAAATGGAAATACTGGAGCGCTACTAGAAGATCTAGTCATTTTAGTAAACAGGGTTATCTCTGGGGATCCCCATTTTTTTTAAATTCAGTCAGTTTATGAGATCGCAGGTGCCAGTAAAAGACTTGCTGTGACTGAGAACAGTACTGGCTGCTGAATATGAGGGAGATGCATGATGGTCTAACAGGCCTAGAAAAGAGAACATGCTGCACAAGGACGAAACAGTTTCTCTGTTCCTAGATTTGTAAAGGAGATAAAATACTCAATCAGAAATGAACATTTTGGATTTCAGTGTACAAGTATACCCAAGAGTCTTCTCAGCTTTGCAAGTCTGTTACAGCAACCTGCTCTTACTCGTGACATGAAAGCAACCTGTAAGATTTTTGTCCCACTGGAGTTGAAGAAGTTCCACTGTGTCCGCTATTAACAGTGCTCTCTGACCAGGATTGGGCAGCCTGGCACATAGAAGCTAAGTTGACCAGACTTATGAAGGCAGTGAGCTACCTCATTCCTTACAAGTGAACAAGTGAAACTTGTTCTTCAGTTAGTTTACTAGTAGTAATGGTTTTATGAATTATATTAGTAACGTCATTTACCATGATCATTTGTATAAAATAATGATGTAGTAGCTTCTGTGAACCAGAGCCAGGGATTAGGATTCCACTGTTAAGAGCTGTACAAATAAGTTGAACTTTCATCATAATTCTAAAGATTGGGGTTTTTTTTTTTTTCTTTTGCAGGACCCTTATCATGGCACGATAGTGCTTGCTACTGTAAAAGGAGATGTGCATGATATTGGCAAGAACATTGTGGGAGTGGTCCTAGGTTGCAATAATTTCAGGTAATAGGGCTAGTCATCATTTCCTGGTCTTTATCACAGTATAATGTTCCCATCTGAATTGCAGTTAGATATTCCATGTTCAACCTTAATAATTAAAGTTAAAATAGGGCATAAGCAAAGGCAGGATGGCTAATCCCAAGCATTAAAAAAACAAGCAGGGTTTTGTTTTAAAATGATGATTTGTTTTAAATGTTGGGTTACTTTAATTTGTCTTCTCTTGTTTTCACCTACTCCTCTTTCCCCCTCTTCGCTGCCCTCCACTCAGTAACAAAAAGGGTGGTATAGAGGTATATTTGTGTTCTGTCCCATTAGGCTGAGAACCTCAACTTATCACATGATTCTAAAATCTGGAGCTTTAAGAAAATGTCAAATCTTGCAAGGTCTGTACCAATGGGAACTGGAAATCATGAAGGCACAGTTATAGACTTGTAAACCTGCTTAGTCAGGAGACCTTCGGGTGGTGCACACAGTCAAACCTGGTTCAAATCTATACCTTACTTGCTCACACCTCCAACATTTAGGATAAATTTTATTGTTTTTTGGCCTCTCTTTGGAAGAGACTACAACCAGAAAGGAAAATGTTTAACAGAATAGGTTTCATTTAAAAAAGGTTACATTTCTGAAGTTGGGTAAAGCTGTTTTAATGCATATAACAGCATTTTAAATTACCTTTTCTCATGAACTTTTATTGATTACTTTGGGCTTTCTTGTGCTTTATTTAGGCTGAACTATTTAGTGTACTGAAGTCAGTGTATTCTGTCACAACGAGTGGAAGTGATGCTGAATGAAGCCAGCAGGCTGAGGCAGCTGGCTAAAAAATAAGTGCTTGCTTGTACAAGTGCTTTGGTAATGGTTAGTAATAATGAGAATAGGACATTAGATTGACACAATTTAATGTTAGCAATTTTCTTTTAATTTTCCCAAACGTGGCTTTGGTTTTGAAGCATTTAATAATGCATAGAAAAACTAAATGTGAATGTAATTATAAGCCTTGCTCAAGATGCATTTTGTACTGAAACTTTTGGTATTTACTGACAGCTCTGAGCCACTTTTCATCAGTTTCATTGATCTGTTTGTGTATTTGTATGTAAGCAATCATTAAGCAAGGGACAGTCTTGTATCTTGTACGTTACTTTGATAGTAGGACTAGTATTGCATATAGGTTTCAAAGAGTTTTTATAGTATGTGTGTGAATACTCCATTCTAACTCTGAGTTACTGCTGCAGAACGGTTATTTTTTTTTTCTCTTTCTAATAGTTTTCTCCTTTTTATATTTTGCCTAGTGTGTAATGCTGGATGGGATTAAATTTATTCTTTATACTGGTTAGCTTGGTGATTAAATGTTGGCTCAGGAGCAGTTGCAAAAGACTAAATGGTTGGTTCCTCACCATAAAGATCCAGGGGAAGTATCTTGATGAGAAATGCAGCTTCTCTGCCTCTAGCTGCTAGAAAAGAGGAGACATATTGTATTGTCCCATCACCCTACTTTGGATCCATCTTTCATACCTTATCTTGCTGGGATCCTATGACCCCTGCTGACTTCCTGCCCCTGGGGCAGGGGGCTGGACTCGATGATCTTCCAAGGTCCCTTCCAGCCCTAATGTCTGTGAAATCCCAGTCTCTGGTTAACTGGCAGACTATAAATCTGAAATTTCTCTAGTTGTGTGAAAGTAATTAAGTTTTGTCTCTTGTTCTTGATTCAGAGCTGCCATAGAAGATGTAGGGAGCAGAGTACCTGGATACTTTCCACTTTCCTGAGCCTTTATTTGGCTCCTTTCCCCCCATAAATAAGTCTGCCTTCTACTGCTGCATAGCTTTGTAAGAAGCAGTGGTAATAGAGAACTGACATCGTTCTTGTCAGATTCACCACTGCCAAGATTTTGAATGGCAACTGTGGAGCTGATTGGAGACTTGTCAGCTTCACTCCTCTACTTAGCAAAGTTATGAGCAGTAGCCGAAAGACACTTGAGCTGCCTGCCTGCAGAATCAAAGAGCTGATGCTGTATTTATTTGGAAGGTTATTTATGTAGCTGTAGGGGACTGAAAGTTCCTTTTCTTAAAGGAAAGCATAGATGCTGCAGTTAATGGGATGGGTCACCTTCCTTCCCAGAGCATGTGGATTTTTCAAGCCCCAGTTGTTAGGGTTTTTTGTATTTGTTTTCATCTGGTAATTTGTAGGCACAGTAAAATTTACCAGCATAGAATTGTCATTGGTACATAGTTAAAAATACATTTGTTAGCCACCAAACTTATTTTTATGGATCCAGTACTACATTCATACTGAATTGGTTGTATTCAGGTCGGCTGTTTCTTTATGCCTGCCTAATAGATAAATTCATGTTATGTTTGTTTATTTTTTAAAAATTCCCATGGTAAAATTTTTAAGTTTTCTCTACTCATGGTACTGTATCATGTGAAATTCCTTCAGGAGCTAAAAATTCTCCAAGGTTGCCAGTGTTTTTGCGAGATCACTTATAACCAAAGGTATCCACTTTCCTTCAAAATTAGATTTTTGTGGTCTTTCTTTAAAATATAACACTTCATGCTAGTGGTTTAAAATAAATGACATGATCACCCCTTCAAAACATGTTTTGTTACCTTAAAAAGAATCGTGTACCATCTTATTTCTTTTCACAGGGTTATTGATTTAGGAGTCATGACTCCATGCGATAAGATATTGAGAGCTGCTATTGAAAACAAAGCAGGTATAGAAACACTTGATCTATAATCTTCATTTGTTTGAATTTAAACATGAACTTGAATTATCTTGCTAATGAATTCTGGAAGATTAAGAGGCTCATGGGCAGCTTTTTATTGACAGAACTTACCTTTTTATTGTTGCTGCTAATGTTTGGCGCACACTATAAAAACATTTTCCTAAGGTGTGAAATATTTTAGAAAAGAATAGCTCTATGGAATAGGTACATCTTATTACATTTTACAGAAGAATAAGCTGAGGCTTAGAAAGGTTAAATAATCAGTCAAAGGCCATATCAATTAGTCCAACTTGGCTTTTAGTTCCATTCTGAGCCTTGCCAAACCAGTGACAGTAAAAGCTGGAATTCATGGTTGTAGGGCAATAAGGTTTCTCTAGATCAAATGCTAGCTGCTTCCAAATTAAGTGTTGCGGCTTAGAGCTGTGAAAATGCCAGTATAGTAGCCAAGGATACTCAAGCATTATGCACGTAGCAGTTCAACACATGTAAGTAAAGCCAATGGCATACTTAAACTCTGAAACTGAGCCCCTTGGCCAACATTTTCAGAAGTGGCTTCTGGTATCAGTGTCCTCTGCCTTTGGATGCCTAACGTTTGAGATGCTTTTAGGGCCAACTCATAAGTATGGAACACCTGCAACTTCAAGTGAAGTCCTTGGTAGCTGCAGATGCTCAGCACTGCTGGCATCTAAGACGAGCTTGTGAAGTGGGGCGCACCAAATCATTTGCTGCTCTTAAAAACTTTGTCCCTTCCAACTCAGTCAAACCAAGCATCCAGTACTTCTGGGATGCTATTGCTAGCATGTAACTGATATGTTTTTACAGTATGGTTTCTCTTTGATGTTTGAGGCACAAAGCTGACTTATTCAATTATTTACAGTTTAAAAATACATTGTGTAGTAGTTCTACCCCTTCTAAAGTCTTTTTTTTTTTTTCCCCCCATTTGTTGGGCAATAGATATAATTGGTCTTTCTGGTCTTATTACACCTTCTTTGGATGAAATGATTTTTGTTGCCAAGGAAATGCAGAGATTAGAGATAAAGATTCCATTGCTGATTGGAGGAGCAACCACTTCTAAGTGAGTAAAATAATCTTGAGGGGACAAAAGCATATGCAAGGTCCTGCTAAATGCAAATAAATAAATAAGTAAAATCCGTGTATGTGAAGTGTAACTTTCTCTGCCCCTGTCCCCCATGGTTTTTTAGAAGATAAAAGGCTTAACTTCCTACTGTCTCTACCTCAGTAGCTCTGGGTTCCCACTAATAATGGACATGCACAATGCTTTAGCTATCTAAATGTCAAATGCTTTAAATGCTATGGGCCTGATCCTACACACAGTTGCTACAAATGGAACTGTGTCCCTGGGCAGGGGCTGAACAATTCAGGCTCTGATTCAGCAGAGCTCTTCTGAACCTACTCGACTTGCAGTGTAGGAGTGGGACTGTTCATGTGCTTAAAGATAAGCCTGTCATTGGTGGGTCCAGGCCACAGTGCTCTGCAAGATTGGATTTCTAATCTGCTGAAACAGGACAGATCACGTGTTTATAGGATACTTACTTCTGAATTGGAATTTCTCAGCTTCGGATCTCATTCTTGTAAATGTATTCAAATAAAGTCATGTCACTGCTCTGATTATTCTAGAGAATAATATTGACAGCTGGCTGACAGCTGGTATTAACCTTCCTGCAAACCTGCTTTGAGTGGTGGCTTGAGTCACACTTTGCTAACTTCTTTATGTCCAATATTTTGAGCAGGTGACAGCTCAGGAGACTGAAGAGGTCAGTTCTTGCATATATAAAAGTTTGAGCATTGCTTCTTTTCTTCTCAGAAGCTTATGCATTTTTATGATCAGCATCCTATAGCTCCCTGCCTCTTGAATCAGCTGGTGTTGGCAAAATGGTCAATAAGATAACAAGCACTGAGTTGATTAGGATGACTGCCATGTCTACTGGCCCAGCAATCTACCCCACATTATGATGTGTCCTTACCTTTTTTTTATTTTTCCTGCTTGTCTGGGTTCATCTTCTATGACACTGAAAACAAACAAAAGCGATGGAATACAGAGAATTTGTCTGCAAAACATATTTGTTCTAATTAGTGGAGGGCTTAAAAAAGCTGATGATCTGCCATGATAGTCCTTTGTGGTCCTCAGCGTGTTGTCATTTTGAGACAACTTGCATAATTCACCTTTATGGAGACAAATGCCTTTGGAAAGAGTAAATGCAAAGCCCATATGCTTTACCCCTGGCTTTTCAGACTGAATAATCAGCATACAGTTTTGTTGTGAAAATAAACAAACAAATTTACATAAGGTGTTTGTGAAACATGCAAACACACACATATAAAAGGTATTTACTTAAATATTAAAACCAGAGACTTAATGGAGACTGGTAATTTCTTTTTATATACACCTCAGACTTTGGAGAGTACTTAATAGTATATACATTTACTTTAAAACAGGAATGTCAAATTTGCCCCACTCCCAGGCCAGATCTGGATGTGGTGTTGGGATGAGCAGCTGCAACAGTTAATGCGGCCATCACTTGTCCCCGCACCACTGACTTGGGGCCTTGCCCAAAAATTTCTTGCCCCCGTGGGATCTGTATAGACCCAATTACATCGTTCTGTGGGTCAGATCTGGCCTCGGGGCCATAGGTTTGACCATCCTGCTTTAAAAGTTTAAATAAATACTTTTTAAAAGCTGTTTACGGAGTTCTTTGCGCTTTGGCTCTGTAATAGTTCCCCACTTCTGTTTTTTTCCTTTCTGTAGGTGAGCTGAGAGAGGGGATGCATGACTTTGCACACAAGATTTCTCTAGTAGGATATCTTTAGCTTAGTTATAATGCATATTTGTTTTGCTAAAATGTTTTGGTAATGTTAGAACTAGGCAAGTAATAGCAGCAGTGTATCAAACAGTGTTTTTTATGAAAGATGATTAAAAATATATGTAAAAATATTCAATCCCACTATATCACTTATGCTGCCTATCTATCACTTTTCTCCCTTTTGCTTATAAAAGGGTTAAGCCTTAAGCAAATATAATATCTTGCTTGAACAAATATATTATCTAAGATGAAGCCCAAGTACATCATCAAGGAAGGAACAAATTTAAAAGTTCCCAAAAAGGTAATTTATATAATTATTTTTCAGAGTTAGCTGTAACTTATACATCCAAAACAGATGCACATACTTGCCAGAGCCTAAAGAAAAAGGGACACCCATTTTATAAAACTAATGGCCTGGTAGGACACTTTTTTTCCCCCCCCGTCGCACTGTCTGAATGTGTGATAGTTTTTGCACATTTAATTTTTACAGCTTCTTAATCATTGCTTTGCTGCACCTGTCTTTCAAAGCAAAATATGAATATAAACATGGTGGTGCTGAAAGCAACAGGTTTAAGGATGTTGAAGCCCTGAAGCAGGTAAGTTTGTTCTTGCAAAAGAAAGTACCCTTCAGATCTTGTCACATTAGTAAATCTATGTGGGAGGAATCGGATGCAATTACCTTGGAAGCTAAAACAACAAAAATCCTGTGATGGCTTAAATTATGTGCAGTTACATGGTAGATATACATTCATTGTAAAAGTGATGAAGTATCATATTTATGCAAATCTTGAACAACTTTGAATATAAGATGACCCTCCCTCTCAGAATGAGGGGGAGGCAGCTGAGTTAGAGTTGCAGGTGGTGGAGGGACAAGCTGCAGGTTCCCTCTCCCCTGTGCTCACTGCTCAGCTGTGTGCCCCTTCTCCCACCAAACAAGCTCTTTTGGCCCAGGGTAGGCAGTGCCTCAGCTCTGACTTTAGCCCTGAATTTGGGGCCAAAGCTGGAGATGACCAGCTGCCTGCTCAAGGCCATGACTCAAATCTAAGACAAGGCTTTTTTTTTTCCGTGCAGATTTTTTTTTGTGGGGGTGGGGACGGGGACGGGGACTGGGAAGGATGGGAACCTTGTCTTGAATTCGAGTAAATATGTCAACACTAATTATTTGTCATTTTGTCACTGCAACTGAGTGTAACTTTTTATATTAAGAAAGTAGACTGGGATAAGGTGGTTGAACTAAAACTAAATGGACATTTTCTTCCATTTTGCATCTTGCACTATTCTGCTAGTTCTTTTTCAGGACCACAGAATGCCTGGTCAGTTCATGACCTGTTGTTTTCCCCATGTATATCCATTTCCTGACCAACTTGCGTCAAGTCACAGCAGACATGCTGTCTCAAAGTAGCAAAATGAACAAGTGAGGTATTGCTTCCTGGCAAGCATGCTTACTTGCACGTGCTTTCATACCATTTGTCAGGACAAAGAGCTGCTGAAATAGTCAGCTGCAGGTAATGCTTTAGTTTAAGCCTTAATTTAGCACTCAGTCTCTATTCAGCAAAGCACTTTAGCAAGTGCTAAACAATCAACAGGCTCCAAACATGTTCTTTAAGTGCTTTATGGACACAAATGGAATTATGTGTTTTAAATACTTCGCTGAACTGAGGTCTTAGTTTGTGGTGACTTTCTAGTGAGGGCAAGATCTTTCTACTTAATGATTGCAAAGAGTTCCTCTTTCATCTCAAGAGTGGAGGTGCTTACACTTTAGGTTTTGAAGACCACGTTTTGCATGCAACTACTGTAAAACATGTTATGAACAGTCAGTCATAGTTCATCATTTGGATGTGTTGGTGAAAGTCTGAAGGCCATAGGCATACTTAACCTGAGGCACTTGTAAGAAGGGACTCTTTTTTTCTAGAGGATTTAACCTTGAACACATCTCACTACGCTATCATAAGACTCAGTCAAGTAACAGGTTGAATTCTTTTTTATCTTACAATGCTGAAGGACTGTATGATGTCAGAGAAGTTGATGCAGAATGTGGTCCAAATAATCATTTCAGTATCTTTTTGGAAGGAAAATGCTGCATACATAAATCTACCTGTGTATAGTAATCCATTTATATCAAACATATGGCTTTTTTTTTCTCCTGAACATTTTTTCCAACCATGAATTTTACATTTGTATACCTGCAGAATTTTTTTCCTTAAATATCTATTTTTATTTATAAAAATGTAGCTTGATATTTACTTGACTAGGTAATGTCTCAGAGTGCCTGGGTTTTGAAAAGTTTGTACTTTGTTTTGAAACTTTTACTCTTGATCTGTTCCTATTTCAGAACACATACAGCTGTCAAAATTGCCCCGCGATACAGTGCACCAGTCATTCATGTCCTTGATGCATCCAAAAGTGTTGTAGTTGTAAGTTCTGGATTATGCAATTCCTACCATCTCCCTCTCCTTCCAGTACACATATCCTTTATCCCTTCCCTTTAACAGTATATTTTTATTCGCAACAAAACAAATGTGCTCCTCTAGGGCCTGGTTCTGAAAGCTCTCTCTCTTGGTAAAATGCAATAACTTACAGAAGGCTAGATCAAGACCTCTGTATCATTTAAAGTACTAGATTGAAGGAGCAAGGTGGTGTATGAGTCATAAGTCATGTTGGGTCCTGCCCAAAGAGGCCCCCAGGAGGAGGGCAGCAGGGCTGGGCACCCTGAGCAGCTCACACCTTCCCCCGCCCCCCATGGGCTCTGCTTGGGTCTGGTCCAGCCATGCTGCCCAGAACCAAGACAGGCATGTGTCCCGCTTTTGCATTTTGAAAAGGTGGTTATGCTGTCCCTAAATGCTGCTACTTAATTTCTTACTACGTGGAAAGATCTCTCTTTTTTTTTTTTTTTCTTTTCCCCCTTGTTCCATCTTTCAAAAACTAGGTGCTTACTATCTTCCAAGGCATTTTGTATGCAAGAAAATATTATATCAATGCAGAACTCCTATTCCAATCCATTTGCCCCAACCTGTAAATTGAATGCCACCTATAAGCCTCTTTCAGGTTACTGAAAAAACAATTTCACCAGCTAGCCTAGTCCTTATGAGTGAGATCAGGGCACTCTATAACCACTCTGTGATGGTGTAAGCCTGAGACTTATTTTGTGTTCTTTAGTTCCTAAGATAGGTGAGTTGGTTGCTGAAGTTTGTTACCCTCGTAATCTATCCTTCATCCTCTGGGCTGCATTGAGGATGGGGCAGCACAATCTATCCAAACAATGAGATTGGCTCTGTGATGCACAGGCTAGTATGTGGGCAGATACCGTTGTGCCGAAGCAGCACCTCAGACACGTCTCGGTCAGGCTTTTTACATGTGATGTTTCAGCTTCTCGAGGGTTCTAATATAGCTGTGTTTCCTGTGGCTCCCTTAAGCAAGAAGTCAACAAGAACACCCTCCGCATCCTGGCTTGCTTAGGAGATAAAATTAGGGGGCATTACTTTCTAACTGATGCTCTTAGAGTAGGCGGCCCAGATATGATATGAAAGGAAGGACTTGGAAAAGTAGCCCATAGGATTTTGTTAAATTTGACACAAAATCTGGCCATTTGGTGACGCAAAGCAAGATTTGTTCCCTAGATACAGCATTTTTGTGAATTTTGAAGTTGATTGTAATGTCTTTAAAAGAAACCATTTAAATTTTTTGTAAAATGCCTAATATTTATGATAGCTAGGAATAAATACAGTGTACCAGCATGAATTCAATGTGTGCGATTCCTGACTTAGATAAGGAAACACACATTGATGAAAATGAATATCTGAGAATTTCCTGTTAGTATCTGAGTGGCTGTTAGGGTGCTTTCGAATGCTTAAAGAAGTCATGGACTTAAATCTTTGAAGAACAGGCTGATACGAATAATTGAGATCTCAAAAACTACACAGTGAATTTTGAATACTGGGGTTTGCTTATGTTAGATTTTTTAAAAACCCTTTCATTCTCAAACTGTAGATCTTCAAACTAAGTCAGTAGTTAGTACTTACTGATAAGTCAGTACTTCTGAAGCTTTGAGGATTTAAACTTGAAAAAAATGCTTTTAATGTGGACTTAAGACGACAAGATCACATGATAAAGAATAATTTTCCCAAGGATCGGGGGCGGGGGTTAAGACCACAAGCTTGAAATTTGAAGGACAGTAGTAAAGTGTTGCTTTGAAAAATGTTGAGTGGTATGTTGAGAAGACGGGTATTTAAAGGAACTGATTGTTCCATGTGTGGGTAAAGGAGATGAAAACCCCAAGAAAGGGGAAAAGAAGATTGCTGACTTGATGGCATCTTCATTTATTTTCCATATCCTCCCAACCCTATGGGTACCCCTCTGCAGGTTTCAGAATCTGCATTTGGCAAGGAGGTATTCCACGTGACATCCCATTAAAGTTAAGGTTAATAAGCGTCTCCATTATCTTCTTGGATTACATCTGACATTACCTGCATGGAGACATTTCTAGGGGAAGCAACTCCTGGTATGGAAGACAGACTATGCAGAAGCATAAAGCCTTTGTAGATTGCCTTAAACCAAAGCTTGTCTTTGTGGTGCACAAAGATTTCAGTGTGAGAAGCATAGGTTTTGTACACCAACCTCCTGCCAGTTCTGCTGGAGATAAGCATATTCTACGGGCAGCCCCACCAACACAGACCTAAAGAATGATGTGAAATCCTGGCCCCACTTAAATCTGTGACAGAAGTCTCAGTGACTTAAGTGATTTTTACCTATGGAGTTTTGAAAGCTCCTGTGCAGAATTAACCTGCAGTTGATAAGATGCAGGGGCTTTTTTATGGGCATGGTAGGGTGGAGGGGACAGAGAGGGAATGACTTTATAGTAGCAATGAAATTACCCAAGTTTAAAATTAAATTGAAGAACTGAGTAAGATGCCACCAGAGACTCCAGTTTCCAAATTGCGATAGCTCATTGAAGGGCGTTTCTGCCATTTCCTAGTTGTCTCTTGGCTTGTTTTTAATTGCTCATTTTGGCTAACCCATTATTATCCTAAATGCCTATTTCCAACACTATAGTGACTTCATGAATCTTTTAACAAATGCTGATTGTAGCACCAGGCATTTTACAGCTATGTAATTTTAGTAAAGTTAGTTATAGATTCATTGCCTTCTACCTTTTAACTCTATTAGAAATAAACGACAGAGGGACAAATATTGGTACACTCAAAGTACCAACAGTACTGCTATGAAGTACATGCAGAGTACATGCAGGGCCTCAGAAGGGAGATGTAATCCAAGCAGGAAGATGTTACTGTGAGAAGACTAGAGAATTGTCCATCCAAGTCTTGGTCTGGTTCATAGGCCCGTTTGAGCTTCCAGTTTTAGTTTCCACCCCTCAGCTCTTCCTTGTGTCAGACTGAATCCTCATGGCATCATACAGGCACTGTTGATGGTTGCATAAATTAACATATTATAAAGCTTTGAAAGCTAGCCTTCAAGTTAGTAATGGCATTACATCTGGCATGCTTAGCAAGATGATAATACCTGTGGAAACTAGAGTAGGAAAGGATGTAGTTTGAAGTTTGCCCGGGGCTCACTCACCCATGTTGCAACCTTCCTATTGTGTAAACTCCCTTTTTCCCCCCTTCAGTGCTCTCAACTGTTAGATGAAAATCAAAAGGAGGACTTCTTTGAAGAAGTACTGGAAGAATATGATGACCTTAGGCAAGAGCACTATGAATCTCTTAAGGTAAATAAATCTGTCCATTGTATGTGTATGCACTCACACCCACAACTTTTCCCTTCTAAACTAATGAATCCTTGTATCACTATTAATCCTCAGACAGATTCTGTATTGATATTCAGCATATTTACACAGAGAAATTAATTTATAAAAGTCAATGTGAATTGACCTCTAAAGCTAGGTGCAGACATTCAAGAAGCCTGAGATGGAATCAAATTATGTGGTTTTCTGTAAGCGGTATAGTTTAGATCAGCAGTGAGCAGAACGCATTTACCCTTTGGTGCGGGGTGGGGGGAGGGGCTAATCTTATATCAAGTTCTGCCATTTGTAAGCCAGTCTGTGTGCCCCATACTGCAGTTCTGTTATGTGTGTAGACCAATTTCAGATTACGTATATCAGTAGAAGTGTAGTGTCTGCACCTGGCTCAAAACAAAATCCTACCCTACTCTTACAGTCACTTTCTCAGGAAAGCCCTGGTTGTCATTGTCCAGTGTTTATACTGCAATACCCTCCTGTAGTATGGGGTCTATATAATGAGGTATATACTGTAGTATGGGGTCTTGCACAATAAAGGAGATGAGGAATGAAAGCCAGGCAAGGTATCTAAACAGAAATTTAAGGTCTAATTTTTGAAATGTTGGGAATGAAAGATGAAGAAATGTTCACATTGGGAGACAGAAGAAACAAATGTACAGGAAAAAAGTAAGTGCAGGTCTTCTGTTTGAATAGACATGGTAAGAAGTCCATTGAGAAACATGTTGAAAGTCTAGTCAGGTAATTCCAAAGATGAACTCTTCTTGCTAAGAACATCCTTGCTTTCAGACTTCTCTTAAGCATCCTAGACATTCAGTGTGGGGACTTGTAGGAGAAACGCCATGCCTAATGCCTTTTCTACTGCTTTTTTCCTTAAAGTTTCCTATGGTTGTATTCCTACTGGAGCAACTCCTCCAACAAAAGGCAACTTTGGGAATTGTAGGAATGACTAGGAGTGACTTCCTGGCTCCATTGAGATCAATAGCACATTTTCTGTTTTAACTGGAGCAAGGAATTTGTCCCAGGTGTTGACAGTCACTCTTTATTTTATTATTGATTATTCTAAATTTACTAGCTAGGTACAGAAAGTACACACAAACCAGTATAAGTGATAGGAAACTGGTTCAGATCAGTAAAATGAGAAGTTGAGTACACATAAATTGCTTTCATAATGGCCGAAACTGGTTTAAGATGAACCTGGATGGATGTAGTATCAGTCTCAACTGATTTGGGTTAAATCAGTTTATTGGACTTCCAGATCCCTTCCAGATTCAAATTAACTCTGTACCCCAGCATCCCAGGATGCTTTGTACATCTCCTGCAAAGCCCCTCTGGTGGGGTGGGCAGGCTAGCCTTGGCCTAAGCTATCTGCTCCAGCAGAGCAGGGAGGCGTGCTGTAGCCATACCCCCTTCTTTCCCTGAGTCATTGTGAGCATTTGCACGTACAACACTGTGTTGTACATCTATATGCATTTTGTTGAACTAATAAGGGAGCCTAAAGTTCAGGTATGGACATTAATACGCAAAACCTTTACAGCCAGAGGAACTAGAACTATCTACCAGAAGATAATGCAGTAGTTTTATTGACTGGAATTCAAGCTCTCCTCAATAGCTTTATTCTATAGGCCTATTAGGCCTTACATAAACATGTAGGAGAGTCATTAAAGGTTTAAAGCTGAGAGGTTCTGTATATATGTACCCTATATTTCTATACAGGAAAGAAAATATTTGTCTTTGGAACAAGCCCGGAGAAAAGGTTTCCATAATGACTGGCTGTCAGATTGTAAACCAGGTCAGTGTGCAATTTTTAAATTGAACTCTAAACTTCATAAACTCACAAGGTGGCAATGTCTTTTCTGTGAAACAACTTGAAAATACATTGGTTTCTTTTGAATTTGGAGGGTTTTTCTCTCCTGCAACTGTGTAGTTGTCCCATTATATTTAATTTCTGACTTTTTTTTCTCTATTGCTATGGATCAGTGGAAAAAAACATAAGTTCTTCACAAGTGTCCATTATAGTACCTGAAACAGTACCTACTTTTATAAGATAGATAGAACTGACAGGCAGGAACTTGCTTGTACCATTGGAGCTTGATATTGCAAGCAACTATAATCCTTTTCATAAACTGATTGAGCTCCATTTTAACATGTAACATTTAAGTTGGTCTAATAAAGGATACCGATCCACCCAAAGAACTTTATCTGCCTATGTCCTTAGACCAACACGACTACAGCCTACACCCCCATTTTAACACGTGAGCTTTTTGCCCCATGTATTTCTTTTCTAATGTGGTTGCAAAACCTCATGACTTTGATTAGGTTCCTTCTAATTTTCAGCCTAAATTTGTTCATCAACAGTTTATAACCTCTTGGTGATAGTACCAATGTTTGTTCTTTAATCCAAATATTTATTTTTCTCTGTGTGGTGTATACCCCATAATATTTTCATAGAGAGCAGTCATAATGCCTTTAGGTCTTTGTTTTTTTACTTCAAACAGTAAGCTCTTGTAGACTCCTCTTGTATGGCTCTCCATTTTTCCTCCAAACTTTCCAATAATTCATCTCTGTACCTGTTCTAGTTTCAAATGAATCTTTCTTGACCGTGGATGACCAGTATTGAACATGGTATTCCTGATGAGGGTCCCACCAGTGCCTCGTATCATGGCATTGTTTTTTTCTTTTTTCTCCCAGAAATACCGTGCCTCATAATAGATTTTCCTTTCACAAGTAAATCACGCTGCTGAAATGCAGTGCTTAATTTTTATTAACTAATCCCTATAAACATCCCAGTATCAGTAGCAGGAAGGGTAAGAAAGAAGCAGTTGTATAGCCATTGGTTCTACCATGTCAGTTCCCCTTTCTGCTCTTACATATACCCAATCCAGTACAGGTGTTTGGAAATTCAAAAAGTTCTATAGCTTCCTGACCACTTTTATAATTGTCCTGAAACTTAGCAGCACTCAGTGCTAATGACAGTCAGGGCTCTGTATGAGTATAGGATTAGGCCCCATGACCATGAATATAAAAAGCACTTACAATAAATCAGAAGCAGCAGTAATTCATCCATTACCTTCTGCTAGTTCTTGCAGTCGTCAAAATGACTTCAAGCCCAGCACAATTTAAGTGCAAATCAATACTGTTTGGGACAGACCAATACGGAAACCTGATTCACGAGTGGATTTTAATGCCTGATAACAAAGACATAACTAGAAGCTTTGTGCCTTGGGTGATGGCAGTAGCTGTGGCAGCTGCCCTTCTTGCACCCCCTCAAAGATGGTGCCTGGAGTGGGTGCCTTGCTTGCTTACCCCCAGTTATACTACTGCCTCATGATCTTCTAGGCCAGGGGTTGGCAACCATTTAGAGCAGCAGGCCACTGCTTGCAACCTAGCCACCACACCATGGGCTGCCACTCTTCCACCATTTGCTGCCCTTACAATGCCCAGGCCTACCTGCTGCCACCTCCACTGTCTCCATCACACTTTGCAGATTTCTGTCCCCAGTGGGGAGGGTCAAACTTGACAGCAGCCATGAGCAGCACATGACATAGGGAGTGGGTCATTGTGAAGCGTTACTGTGGGGGTAGGAGGGAATCGGTGGCAATGCATGGAGTGAGAGGAGTGGGTGATGCACTGGGCCAAGCTGCATACTGCCAATACCCCATGCTGCTGTGGGCCAAACCCAGCATTTCACATGCTGCATCCAGCCTGTGGGCCATAGACTGCCAACCTCTGTTCTGTGCAGTGCTTAGACTGACTTCAGTTTATTGTGACAGTCTTACAAGGATGACACTTGTCATTATTTTGTTGTAGCATTCCTGTGGTAGTAAGGGTTCAACGGTGCAGTTTTGGGAAAGAGAAAACTAGGTTACATAAAACAGTAAATTGTGTTCACTTGTTGCATTGCATAGGCAAAAGACGCACAAAAAAGTATACCATTTTTTTAATGACAAATGGTATTTTGAATTCCTACAGTTAAACCTAGATTCATTGGCACTCAAGTATTTGAAGATTATGATCTGCATAAGCTGGTCGAATATATTGACTGGAAGCCTTTTTTTGATGTGTGGCAACTTCGGGGCAAATACCCCAATAGAGGATTTCCTAAAATCTTTAATGATAAAGTAGTAGGTAAGTACTGAAATACTCACAAAGGGAAATGCAGACAGATATTAGATATTTTTCTAACTGTACAGAAATACACAGATTTAAAAAAAAAAAAAAAAGTATGTGGGCAACTTAAATTTGAGAAATGTTGTAACATATAGCAGCAATGTTTTGAATCTTAAAATGGCGGCCCAGGAAAGTTGGTGAGAATTTTTTGACATCCATCTAAAGAGTTGGCCCCTGTGTCAAAATAAAGGAAACATTTTTGATGGTGGAAAAATATTAGAGGCCATAATATATCTGTATTCATTGCTGGAGAATACTATTAGCTATGACTGCTAATAGGTATGATCTCCAAAGTACTTTGAAATATGTCATAAAGCTTCAAGCGTATGTGGAACTTCTGAAACTTGGTGTTCTTTTTCTGCTACACTGGTTATGCAAGTGCTGTCACTACAGCCTCTTGCCATCACTCAGCTTTACCGTTCTTTCTTGTACGAGTATTTTGGCAGCTGCATCTCTTGTACATAATGTGAATGTCACAACTACGTAAATGCCAGAGGTGTGCAAAACAGGCCATATTCGGTTCAGATTCAGCCCGAATCGAGGACAGTGATTCGATTCGTTGATTCGGATCACTGTCCCAATTCAATTCGGCTGAATCCAAATCTGAAGATTTGATGTTGATTCAGAGAATTAGTGATTCGGCCATAGACACAGCTTTAAAAGATTTTTTCTATATACCTCGAGGTACCAGATGTGGCTCATGAATGTTGGGATGCTGGGGCAGATGGAGCGTCCCACAGGAGCGCAGGGGGACTCCCTGCACGCTTGGCAGCAGACCCGGAAGTACTTCCAGTCCATTTCCAGGTCTGCCACTGAGCACGCTGGAAAGCCCTCCATGCTTTGGTGATCAGCCGTGGATTCCCCCCCTCTAACCCAAGAGGCACTAGTCACCGAGCCCACGGGGGCCCCCCGGTGAGCTCCCTGGCAGACCCAGAAGTGGACCGGAAGTGCTTCTGGTCCACTTCCGGGACTGCTGCTGAGCACGCTGCGGACCCGACCGACCGACCGACCCCC